CAAGCGGAACAAGTTCAATTCAATTCAACAAACATATATTAAACTCTTAGCATTTATAAGATGCTATGCTAGATGCTAAGAATCCCCCCAAAAAAAAGAAAAGAAAAGAAAAAAAGAAAAATAGTCCATTTCCTCAAGAATACATTCTATTATAAATTTAATCTCTTCAACATGACAGCCTTTTAAAAACTTGAAGGCCACCATCATGTTCTCCTGCTCTTCCCATCCCCTTTTCTTTCTCAGAGTTAAATGTCAGCATTTTTTTCCAAACCAATTGTCATATGCAATGGTCTCCAGTGAGTGATCACTATATTCAGGGCCCTGCACTTGGTTCCACAGATGATACAAAGATAAATAACACAAAATCTTTATCCTCAAGAAATTTACATTCTGAGATGAAACAATGCACACAAACACAAAGCCATGCTACAAAACAGAATGTGATAAATGCTAAAATACCCATATAAAATATATAATATTAGAGTATGGGGAGGAACGCAGTATCTAGAATATAGTAAATGCTTAATAAATGCTTGCTGATTGATTGATATATAATTGAGGGGAACCTAGGAAGGCTTTATGGAAGAAGTAGCATTTATGCTGGTGCCTTGAATGAACAAGCATAGAATTTGGAAAAATCAGATGAAAAGCAAAAGTGTCAGTAAAGATATGGCATCTGGAAAGCTCCAATCATATCAACCAATCAATCAACAACAATTCATTAAATACCTAGTATGTACCAGGCACTGTGCTAAGCAAGCTCTGGGGTTATAAGTACAGAGAATGAAATAATAGCTACTCACAAGGATCTTACATTGTAAGGGATATAAAACTTACATCATATATTTAAAACTTAAAGCATAAAGTGAATAAATACAAAATATAATAATACAAGATAGTGTGAGGGGAAGGGCACCAGTACTTGGGGGGTGGGGGAGGGGTCATGCAGAAGACATACTTGACCTAGAGAAAGATTCTATTAAGAAAGATTCTATTATGGGGGTGGGGGATGGAACAGACCATGTTCAATCTCTTTTCCACACGATATCCCTTCCAGTACTTGAAGACAACCATCAATTCTGTCCTCTGCCCCCAAGTCTTCTCTTCTCCATTCCTCATGGTAGGGCCGTGAGATCCTTCATCATCCTTGCCATCCCTCTTGTGGACAATCTCTAGCTTTTCAATGTTCTCCCTAAAATATGGTACTCAAAATCATTCAATACTCTAGGCATAATCTCCTCAAGGCAGAATAGAGCAGGAATAGCATCTCCCCACTTCTAAAATTATCTTTTCACTTTTTGTTTTGGTTGGGACTTGTTATTTCAAAGAGAGGGAAAATTCTCCCATCAGCAAACTCATCTGAAATTTTCAGTGTTAATAGAGTTCCCTGAGAGATTTAGTGACTTGCCCTAAATCAAAGAGTTAGTGTCAGAGACAGGATTTAAACCCAAATCTTCTAATTTCATAGTTTACACTTGAATTATTATATCACTCTACCTCTCAAGGCACTAGCTGTGTGCCACCCTTAATACAGCCTAAGATCACATTATCTTTTTTGGCTGCCACATCACACTATTGGCTCAAAAAGAGCTTATAGTTGATTAAAACCCTTAGATTTTTTTTCAGATGTTTAAATAGTTCTACCCCATCTTGTCCTTAGGAACAAGATTTATTTTTTAAACTCAGATATGACTTCATATTTTTCCCTATTAAATTTCATCTTAGATTTGGCCCAATGCTCTAGCTTGTTGAGATTATTTTGTGTCCAAGTTCAAATTCTGGGTCAAACACTTGGTATATGACTTTGGCAAGTTGCACCATCTCTAAGAATAAGTTTCTTCATCTGTGAAATAGGAACAATATTGTTTTTTATTACATACTTCACACGATTATTTTGTGCAAAGTACTTTTTAAAGTGCTATACAAATGTAAACTGCCATCATAACCTACCAAGCATACATTCTCATATTACCCTTATTTTGATCCTCTTATCCCACACCACAAGTCAGCCCTCACCCCAAAACAAATTCAAAGTCTCTCATACTTAAGATCACATGGCACTGTTTCACCTTTAAGACCTCCAGTTTGATTACTTCATTTCACTGCCAGTTTCACTCATACCCAGTGAAGCTACTTTGACCTCAATGATCACTCAATTTAACTCTTCTGAATTTACCCAGGCCATTATTGCCCTCTTTGATACACAGGACTCCTTATTTGGCCATTTCCCATGCTAAGTACTCTTACTTTTGACTCCCCAACCTTCTACTGAGTCTCAATTCTGGATTAATACCAATATCTAACATTATTACTCTACTCCATTGGTGGCTGGAAAAAGACACTGAAACATGAAGAACTATTCTGCTTCAAATATATCCAGTATAAATGTGATACTAACATGTTTGGACTTAATTCTTTAAGCACTGAAGATCCAGTGTAGGCAGGTTACATGACCAAACCTATGCTTTAGAAAAATTAATCTGTTCCTGCAGGATGACTGAAGGGAAGAGAGACTCAAGTTAAAGAAATCAGTTAGGAAGCTGTTGCAATATATTGTTCAGGAAAAGTTAATGAAGGACTTAACTAAGATGGTAGTAGAGACAATGACCAGGATGGTACATGTTAGAGATATCCCTGAAGTAGAATAATCTCAAGAAGTTGGAAATTGACTAAGTGGAACCATGGGAGAGGAAGGAACTGAAAATGACTCCCTAGATTTGAGCTTGTGTGACTGAGAGGATGATGTCATTGACAGAGATAGGGAAGTCTGAAGGTAGAAAAGCTGTTGAGTTTGGTTATGGACATACTGAGTTTGGAAGTACTGATAGGTCAGGCATATGCATATGTGGATCTAGAGTTTAAAAGTGAGGTCAGGATCGGAGGTATAAATTTGGGAGTTAGCCCCGAGATCGTGGGAGCCCATGCAATTGTCAAAACCAAGTTTTCTTCTTAAACCTCTTCTTCTGACTTAATACTTCTCTGTGATATAGTGCTTGTGGCTTATATTGCATTTTCCTTTAAAAAAAAATTTCTGTTGGTGAGTACTCTTATCCCTATTAGGGCTCAGCGAGCTTAAGCAACCATAGACTTGGAACAGGAAGGGATGCTGGAGATATAGTCCAGTTCCTCCATGTTACAGATAAGGAAACTGAAACCAACTCCCTATGCCTGCATCTCAGGCCCAGCACAGCAGGTTTAGGATCACAGATTGCAAGCCAGAACGGACGTCAGGGGACACCTCTAGTCCAATCTCCCCTTATTTTACAGACTAGGAGAGTGAGGCACCGATGAGGTCACACACACCCCTACTTAAGTGGCAGCGCTGACATTCGAACTCAGGCCCCGAGGTCCGAGGCCAAATCCTGTGCTTCAAACTGACCCTTCTACACCCACCTCCCTTCCCTTCTCCCCCCGCCCCCATCCCTTAAGGAGAAAACAAACAAATCCCTCACTCCCCAGGGGGGCCAGAAGGAAGTGCAAGTGTAGGCGGACCGCGCCCCTCCCCCGCCCCGGGTCATAGCGCCCCCTGCTGTCACACCTGGCCAGGCCACAGACACCCCTCACCCCCCCCCCAGTTTCTCGGTGAAGGTTTCGAGCCCAGCCCCGCCTCCCTGGGGGCGGGGAGCGGGGCGGCGGGCTAAGGAAGGGATGGAGGAGGATAGGAGGACGGCTGGGAGCCGGGATGGCGGAGCGATGACGACGGCTACGGAGCCCCCGGCGGCGCCGGGAGCCAGGACGGCCCCCTCCAGTCCCCGAGGGCTGGCGCCGAGGCGGGGAGGTCCACAGCCTAGGGGAGGGGAAGGGGTGAGGGGGCTTGGGACAAGGGGGGACGCCCGGCCTCGGCCGCAGCTGTGCCTGCGGGAGTTGGTCCCTGCCCGGTCCCAGCCGTTGCCAGCAACCCTCCCTTCCCCGGGGGGCCAGAGCCCCGCAGCCGCGGCGGAGCGCGCACTAACCTGAAAGTGCAGCGCCATCTTCCCGAGAGGCGGCGCCCGCCCGGCCAGGAGAGCAGACGGAGGCGGGGCACGGGGCAGGGGGCGGGGCATGGATCAGGGGGGCGGGGCAGGGGGCGGGGCAGGGGGCGGGGCGGCCCAGGCCGGACCCACAGAGACAGTGAGAGAGAGCAGGGTGGAGGCGGGGCGTGGACAGAGGGTGGGGGCGGCTCCGGCCCCACCCTGAGACAGACTGGTGGGGGCCGCGGGGGGGAGGGGGATCTGGTTGGAATGCGAGAGGGGGCGGGGCGCGAGGGCGGAGCCTCCGCCAGGGCTCTCTGGCTTGCCCTGTTCGGTTACGGCCGCAGGGCGGCGCTCTCTCGGCAGCGCTGGGAGTCCGCAGGCTGCCTGAGGCCATCGTAGGGCTCGGACCCCAGCCTGCGGTCACCCAACTCCGGCCACGCTTCCTACCCACCAGAGCCTCACCTCCGTCTCTGGCATCCCCTGGTTTCTTTCAGGGTCCCTCTGCCTTGTTTGTGTCGTGGACCCCCCCTCCCGCAGGCTGGGGAAGCCCATGGACCCCCTCCCCCCTCCCGGAATGCATGAGAAAAAACCCAGAGGCTTACAAAGAGCGAAGTACACTTAGCAAAATAAACGGTTTTTTTTTAAATCCCAGCCCTTACCCCAGTTAAGACCCCCTTGTTTTCTGTCCTGGTTCTGCTTAACCCTCCCCCGCCCCTTAAAGGTCAGAACCAGGAGCAATGCAGGCAAACTTACAAGACAAGAAAAATTACCCCATGATTAAAACCGTTTTGTTTTTCGAAAGTGGAACGTGCTTCCTCAGGAAGTCGTGAGCTCCCCCCACGGGAGGTCTGTGGTCGTGCCCAGCTGGACGGCCACCTGTCGGGATCGGAGAGAAGGGGCTCCTTATCTAGGTAAAGGTTGGGCCGCACACCTCTGAGGGCCTTCCCAACTCTGGGATGAGGAAATTTCAACCATCACTTTAAAACTGGCTGAATGCCCTTTCCAGGACCCAGCCCCCTCCGCCGCAGACCCCTCAGCCCTGGCCACCTAAGGACAGCCAAGACCTAGGATTCTGTCCAGATCCGTCTTGGCAAGGTGCAGAGAGGGCTCTGCTAAAGTGAGCGTCAGCGTGAGTGTCTAAGCCACCTTGAGACCTGAGATCGAGCTTTCCAGGGCACTCAGAAGGGAAGATTCGGTTGTATTTTGTTTTCCTCCTTTAAAAAACGTGAGTACCTACCTTCTTTAGGTTTCAATGTTCAATAAAACTTCTCTCACCTTCCCTTTTGTCCCACAAAAAGTGAACCTGATTCAAAATCTTTTTAGTCAATTAATAGTATTTCAGATGGAATTGTGTCACTACAATGGTTTAAATTAATACAAAGATTAGAAATGATGCTTCAGGACTTTGAATAATTCATTCTTGTTATAAAACTCAATTAAAGATTGGACTTTCTGAGCCCTTAGGAATGACAAAATTATTTTCATTTCTGGCAACCATCCATTTAAAAAAGGTATATGGCTCTTTGGGCTAAGAAATCTCGTTGGGGGAAGGAAGATTCAGAGGTTTGAATCTGTTCATTTGGGTTCTGTGTGACCTTAGTCAAGTCATCTAACTTCTCTGGATATTTACAAGATGGGGAGGGGGAGAATATATTAACTAAATCATTCAAAGAATTTTGCAAACAATATAAAATGGTTACAAATTGTTTTGTTATCATATGTACTATATTGAATACGGTTCTGAAATTAATTGAATGACAATTTTAATCAGGTAAATTGTCAGTTATCCAGGGCTTGATCCAGTTCATAGATTTATCATCTAATTAGACTTTTCCCATTCCTGCATCTTCTCAAGCTCTGAGAATTTTAGAGGTGCTAATGAATTAGGTGTTTTGGCAGGGTTCTTTTCATATACTCTGAAGCCCCAAATTCTCTATTCTGAGCAAGATGAAGCAAAATGCTCATTCCACCAGGATCTGACACATATATCTGGAGTGCAGAAAATCCTGTATTAGCATATTTGGCAAAGTTTCTGAAAACATAAATATGAAATCTTGAATTCTTATACACATATTGTAATTGTAGCAAGACTATACTATTGTATTCAGTTTTAAGAGTCCCGCAGAGGGCAGGCAGAGGAGAGCAATGAGTGGAGAAGTTCATGTAACTTCAGGAACATAGCTATAATTGAACTTACTCTTTCAATCACTTAAATATCTTAATATATTTTGAAATTTAAAATATGGAAGATAAATGGATGGATGTTAATAATTCCTGTACTCCAACACAATAAAAAATTAAATAATTTGGTTTACTCATTTAAATAAAATACATTATTTGCATATGACTTCTCTTCAAATCTTAATGAACTGTTTATTGATTGTTTAGGGCAAAGTAGCAATTCTTTGGTGTGATGCCATGAATAATTAAAACTGAAGCTGTAGGACAGTTACACATTGTATGCTGACTGAAAAAAAAATAAAAACGAATAACATTAGAAGGGAAGTCCTCCTCTAATGTCTCAACATGAGGCAGAGATGACCCTTAGATCTAAAAGTCTATGGCAAGAGAAGGTAGGCTATGGCAGGACTAACAAGCTAGAAAGCCTTGAGTATGGAATCCTGGCCTGCTTGTATGCTATGTGTCAATCATCCACTGATTAGTTCAGTTAAGTTCAGAGAGGCTAATGACCAGAAGTTTGGCTGTAAGGCAATGAACTTTTTTTTTTAACAATGGCAAAATCATGAAAGTTATCTACTAAGACATAAAGGGCTGCAATCTGTGGATGAAGATGTCTGACTATCTGCATTCATGTTAAGTATGCAGAGCTATGTGAGATGGAGTCCTGTTTAAAAAACAAAAACAAAAAACAACCTGAAATTGACTAAGTGACCTGAAATAGAATTGAAAGCATGAACATATGCAAAGGACAGAGAAGTAGGCTAGAGAAAAAGAATAAAACATAGGCATATTTTATAACCATGGTTGCTTCTCAGAAATAGGCCATATCTAAATGTCAAGTATTTTCTTCTAAATGATATCCATAAGAGACACTTGGGAGTTGGAAAAGGGAACAATCATGGTTAGTTATTTTCAAAACAAAATTAATTTAGATTAAAAATTAAATGAGGTTACTTGTATAATATTGCTTTTAACAGTAAAAACCCTCTTTGATTTTTTTCATACTTGTATTTCTCCTCAGTCTTATATCTCTGAATTTTCCCTTTTATGGAGGAAAAGAAAATGCTTGCAAGAGGGTATAAAAGTGCTCAGTTAACCAGTCAACCTTTTCATAATAAATACCTCAAAAAATGAATAGCCAAAACATTAACTTTCTTTTCTCTTCTTTCCAGGTTAGGGTTGTGACAGTCTGGGGATGGTGATAAGGAAGATTTCAATAGCAGTGCCTATGTTATTCATTTTCTATAAGGAAAAAAAAGTAATTCATTTGGTAGAGAAAAGTGGATTTATCTCATTTACAAACAGGCTACTGGGGCACCAACACATTTATTTATTTATTTATTTTGAAGATTAGCATGTTGAACATCTATGGTGTGAATTATAGGATCATAGATTTAGAGGAGGAAGTGACCTTAAAGGCCATTGCCCTTCGTTTTATAAATAAGGAAAAACTGAAAAGTGACTTGCCCAAGATCATACAGGTACTGAGAGAGATATCAAATTTGAATTGAAAGCATATGTGAAATGGCCTTCTCCTTAAGCATGCAAACATTGCCTTCAACTTCTTTATTTTGCCCATAGTACTGAGCATTTTGAAGTGCTTAGTAAACATGTTCACTTTCACTTTCCTTACTTCCAAGGTCAGTTAAAGAGATACTTAGTTCTCATCTGAATTCACAGAGTACAAAAGTGAGAGAGACATGGACAGATGCTCTCATGAAAGACTAAAAATTTTAGCTGGTTTAGAAAGCGATTGTATTTGATATTTTTACAGGAAATTTTACTTTACTAATTACAAAGGTAAATCTAATGATACAGAGGAAAATACAATGGAATAGAAGACAGAAGACTTGAGTTCTACTCCTAGGTCTTCCATAAAGAACTATTGTGACCTCGAGCAAACCCCTTCCCCTCCCTATATCCTCATTTTTAAAATGAGATTTTACTCAGTGTCCACAGTACCTATAAGAAGAAGGCATTTTAGAGGTCATCTAGTCTAATCCCCTAATTTCCAATGTCTCTTTCAGGTCTAACATTCTTGACTAACTCTTTATAATTGAGATTAGAAATGGAACCTCTATTTTCAAATCAATTTGTTTCCTTCTTCATAGTCTCCAGATTCATTTTCTTCCTCTTCTTCCACAGGATCATAATAGTTTCCATAGTCTGTGTTGGAACTTCTAATTTTGTTCTGTGTAATCATTTGATATCTAGATGATGAACCTATACAGGCAACAGATTAGAAATTTCATAAGTGAAATAACAAAATTGATAACAGAAATTATTTAAAATCACCCTAGGGGCAGCTAGGTATCGCAGTGGATAGAGCACCGGCCCTGAAGTCAGGAGGACCTGAGTTCAAATCCGGCCTCAAACCAAACACTTGACATGTACTAGCTGTGTGACTATGGGCAAGTCACTTAACCCCGATTGCCTCACTAAAAAACAAAAAAAATCATCATCCTAGTGAATAGAATGACATATTTTCCCACCTTAGAGGTAGACTGTAGATACTTACAGTTCAGATTTATATTCAAATGATGATCAGCTATCCTGAATCAGTTTCAGTAGTCAAATAATAAACACAATCCACAGATATGTGCTAATAATCTCTATACATACTATGAGTATATAATGAAAATGGGTTAGGTATCATTATGAAAATGATGAGGTATGTGTATTCCAAACATGACTTTCATGCAATCGATAATTTATTTCCATTTAAGATAGAAATTAAGACATACAGAAAGGATGTTTTTATTCTTCAGTATCACATTAATGTTATACCAGTTCTGTTTTAGAGTCCCTTAGGGAATTTCAAATGGTTCTAAAACTGTCCCTGTTAATTAACAGGTAATATTGGGTCCATTTGACCAGAAAGGTCTATGAATCAAAATAACAAATTATTGAACACCTACTTTGTTCAAGACAAAGTGTTGTAGGGGATTAAAAAAAAAAAAAACCAAAACCTTATAGGCCAAGATCTCTCCTATCAAGTTTAGCATCTGGTTAAGGAAAGGTAATTATGAGATAAAAATTCTGTGCAATATCAACTTTTCACAAGGAAATCTGTCATTAATTACTAGGCAATAGTCAGAGAAAGTAAATACCATAAAAATTCAGAGATGATTTTGGACCTCAGTAGTCTGGGAAGACTCTGCAGAAGAGGAAGGAATCGAATTGTCTTGAATTTGCAGGATTTGAATAAACTAACAAGCAAATAGGTGATGAGAGAGATTTCAATCTGGGGGAAAGTTATGAGCAAAAGAGTGAAGATAGGAAAGTGCATGCTTTAAGGGACAGTGAAAAGATTAATTTAGTCAGAATAGGAAGTATAAGAAGATGAAAGATATGGTTAGAAAAGTAGTATAGATAGGTCTAGATTGTAGAGTACAATGAATATAATTTAAGTACACATCACTGAGATCTATAGATTCTGTTGGTAATAGGGAGCCAAAGATAGTTTTTGAGCAGTAAAGTGATATGATAAGTAAAATATGTTAGAAAGATGAATCTGGCAGTGGTGTATGGCATGGATGGAGGCACTTTCTAGGTATGGAAACCAGTTAGGATACTGTCACAGGAATCCAGTTACAAAGTGATAAGAGCCTAAATTACAGTGGAGTCAATGGTGAAGGAAGAGAAAGGTGTAAGAAACATTTCAAAGGAAAATTCAGGTTTGATTCTATTAGTTTAAAATAGGTTATTAAAAAAAAAACCACAGAGACCAAGTATCGTAAGACTTCTTTTTAAGTTTATCTATTTTTTAAAAGGTCATTTACCAGGATTGATAACTTTTAGTCTGGCAGATGCATAAGCTGTGCCATATTTGTTTCTGGTATGGCAGATATAAACACCTTCATCTGATTTCCTGATCCCTTGAATTTGGAGCCATCCTGTCACACCATATTTCTGAGGTCCACCTCTCACCTGTTAGGAGATACTTTTTAATGATTCAGTGAATAAATAGATAGATGCATAAATGTATCACCAAAAGAGTCAAAAAAGTCAGAAGACGTGTAAAGTGGCTCCTATGTGTAAGTTGCTATTCCAAGCACTGCAATGTGAAGATAAAAAATAAAAAACATTTATAGCATCAAAGAGTTTCTATTTTAGCAGGAGGATTTAATGTGATGTTAGAGGCATTTTATATAAGGTAGGGACAGAAGGGAACAGCAGAGAGACTCAAGGTGTTGTAGGAACATTTGAAGGGAAGAATTAAAATAGATAAGTAAATCAGAGAAGTCTTCCCCAGATAGGTGGAAGGAAGATAGGAAATCTGCAATGTAGAGATGAGGAGGGAGTGCATTCCAGGAAGATGACGGTCTTTGCAAATGCCTGGAGGTGGGCCGAGCCATTAGTACTTCAGTGTGGCTATAATGTAGAGTTTCTGAAATGAAGTAATATAAAACAAGGATGGAAAGATAGCTTGAAGACATTGTGGAGGGTCTTTAAAGCCAGACTAAGAAGTTTGTATTTTTATGCTATAGGCAATAGGGTGGCATTGGAGATTCGTGTTTTTATTGTTTTTGTTCTTTAATCAGGGTTGTAACGAGGATAGAACTGTGTCTTAAGAAGATTTTGTTGGCAGCTGTATGCAGGATGGTTTGGAGACAAGAGAGGCTAGTGGCAGGAAAAATCAATTAAGAGACTATTGCATAGTCCAGGGGGTGGTAGAAGTATGAATGAAGAGGATGTGCCTTGACTCAGCTTTTTTGATCCAAGACTTAAAAATGAGACTATGAAAAGCCTAAAAAGTAAATTAAGACTTTAAGTTTTCACAAATTTTAAGCTTATCACATTTCATTTTTTTTATTCCATAACTGTTAGAGAAGGCTTCTAATGAGACACATTTGCTGGACAGTGGTAATTTTAGAAAGTTGTAACAAGTTTTGTTCTGAAGATGTTGTTATTCTTGAGTTCAGTTGGGCAAGATTTAGAATTCTTGACTTCCAGTTGACTCTACCACTAAAGCAGCAAAAGTGCTTATTTAATTCTCTACCTTTACTATACTAGAAGGCAAGATACCCGGTTTCCCTGGTATGGTATGACATTGTGGTACCTTCAGAGATTTCTATGGGAAACTTCAAGGGACTACAGGTTGTGGAACTGACTTCAAATATAGTGTGAGAATAGGTCAGGAATTCTTTACATATTATCAGAATCTTCCTACAGTCTCCTCTTCTAAATCAAGTTCAGTGAGAAAATGGATTTGGAGTTAGAGATTCAAATCCCAGCTCTGTCTATTTAGTAGCTATGGAACCTTAGACAAATTTCCTGACAGGACCTCAGTTTCTCAATCTGTAAAATGAGATTAAACTAAGCTTACTTCCAACTTTAAACTTATGATCCTATGATTGATTATATTACCCAAGTCTTCCCTTGTCACTAGGAAACCTCTACAATGATAATGACTTGGAGGTACAGTGACAATGGTTATAATGGTTTGTAATGTACCTCTTTCTTATCCCACAATCTACTGGGAAATTATTGCCTTCTGGGACGGTCTGTGTTACAAATGAAAACATTTTTAAAGAGCTAGGGTTGTGTAGTGAAAAGAATGTTGATTTTAGAGCCAGAAGAACTGGACCCTAATCCTTGGCATTTAACTGCTGATCCTCAATTTCCTTATCTGTAAAATAGGAGTGATACTTATATTAAATTTTAAAGTACTAACAGAAATATGAATTATTATTAAGGTACCAAACAAGTTTTATAATAATATGATTAATGTAATTCAAATATTTATTGAGCATCTACATACAATGTGAATGGTACTATACTAAGCCCTAGCGATTACTGTACCTGAATTGAAATGTGTGCATCATCACCAGGAAGGAAAATTTTTTCTCCTTTTTTCTTCCATTCCAGGTATGGTATTGGATAGGCTGAAACTTCACATCTAAAAATGATGTCATTTCCCATAAAGTTCTCAGTATTTTGAGGTGCCAAAGAAATAACAGGAGCTAGAGAAAAAAAAATTAAAGTTAGAAACCTGCCAAAATTTTCACTGGCATCTAAAAAACATTTTAAAAGTTGTTTTCCATGTAAGAATACATTTGGCAAAGATTATAATTTACAATAACATTGTAATACTTTAAAATAAAAATTGGTAAACATTAAAATTTTTTCAAAATACATAATAAATTAATCTTCAACTATATGCTCTACAAATATGCAAGTGTGGAATTTAAGTAATATGAGGTTTTATTCCTAAAATGGAAGGAAACTTCAGTGTAAATACTCAAAGGGGAATAACATTTGTTTCTTTGTGTCTTATTTAGGATTGTAAAGGACTTTGTAAAATATTCCAAGAACTTTGGTGAAAACAAAAGTTATAAATTATAATGTAGTAGTAATAATAATACTTTATATTTGCATAGCACTTTAAGGCAAAAAAAAAAATCCATTTGCATTATCTGTTTGATTCCCACGACTTTGGTATGGGCCTAAGTAGGGCAAATATTTTTGCCATTTTTCAGATGAGGAAACTGAAGTTAAACGATTTGCCAAAAGTCATAAGTGGTAGGGACAGAATTTGAATCCTGCCATATTGCAGGTCAGAGGAGAGCAAAATGAAGAAAAGAAAACAATTCTTTTTTTTTATTAGGCAGTTGGGGTTAAGTGACTTGCCCAGGATCACAAAGCTAGTAAGTGTCAAGTGTTTTTGTCTGAGGCTGGGTTTGAACTCAGGTCCTCCTGACTTCAGGGCCAGTGCTCTATCTACTGCACAACCTAGCTACCCCAAAAGAAAACAATTCTAAGGCTATGTAAGGATGGGGTGATTAAGTTTACTCAACTCTTCTCCACTTAAAGTTAGTGATAAGATGTCCAACTGATCAATCTCGTAGGCCTTAGACCAAGTATGGAAAAGTCTTTTGAACAGTGATGAGAGAGTTGTGTTCCAATAAGCTGAGGAAGTTTATCTCCTCTCTTCCCCAAGTTCCTCTACAAATTAACAAACTAGTTAGAACCAGGTTGGAGCGAATGTGATATTCCAGCTGAACCCCTAGAGAAGGAACCTCCTACTAGGGAAGGAAAGGCCTTAGCTTAGGTCTTGTCAGATCTTTGTCCTAACCCCCTAGCCCCACCCCTGACCAGGACTTTGGGAGAATTTAAGATTCTGGAAGATTCTGGACTTCTATTTTCCCATCAGTGTCCTGGAAATAGCCCTGGATCAATTGACAACACTATCTGCACTACAAGCCAAAGACAGATGGACCAAGATTTACCATATTTAAGATTAGCTTCTTGAACATCTTACAAAGGGCAGGACTTAGGTGCTATGAGTTATCCCTTTGTTACAAGTATTCAAGTACTTGCTACAATTATACGAGAGGGTGGGGAACCCACCCTCTCCTAGATTCTGTATGTACTTGTGGGAGATTGTGTCATAGACTTGGTGGGAGGTTTGTACCAACTGTTTACCATTTTAATAAATACCCCTGTCTAAAAGCTAGGTAAGGTTAGCTAAGTAAATTGATTCTCAGTTTGATTCTTAGTCTTGAGGATAAGTACACAAGTGGGACTAGAGCTGATGACATTAAAAGAATAACTTCTCAGGGGGGACCCATAGAACTCTGAAGAGAGGATATAGCCAAACTCTAAGAACCTGTCAATGGGAATGAGGTCAGACAAGGACATCTGAAAGCATACATAGTCTATAGCTATGATAGGTGCCATTTATATCAGACTATGATAAAAAGCAAAAGCTAGTCTTCTAGACCAGTAGTTTGAAAACTTCTTTGGTCATACAAAACTTAAGCAAAAAAAACTTTTGATACATCCCTAATACATGTGTATTTACTTATTAATAAATTATAAAATTTGATCTTTGGTACTACTAATATATAGATATATACAATAATATATACACAACAAAGAAAATTTTAAAAGAATGAAATGAAATAATATTTTGAAAATAACATTTTCCTTAATGACAGAAAAACTTTGGTTTCACTTAAAATATTAAATGAGAGCACTATGATTATGTTTCATATTTTTAATATCTTGATTTAACACTTTGTGACTTAGTGATTTAAGGATCTGATTTTAAGTTCTGTTTATTTTGATGTTTGGTTTTAATTGTATAGTTAGATACCTCACAAAGATATGTAGTTCCAAATGGAAGAAATGCATCTTTGGTTATTCTTTGATACTCATTTTCCAATCCCATCCACCAGGTATAAAGTTTTTTTGTTGTTGTTGTTGAACTTGGGCTAGTACATTTCTATCTTCCCTAATGATGATAAGTTGTTCTGGCAGGAAGATTTCTATATTTTTAATAAATGGGTTCAAAATCCACTGAAACTCTTTATTCAAAATCTTTTAAAACAGGTTAGATATATGTTTCCATGTTTTTTAAGTGTATAGATATGAGAAGGTTTTTTGGTAGGTCGTACATTATTTTCAGCAAAACAAGGAGAAAAGAGCAAATATCCAGGAGGAAAGGGGTAGTTAAGAGTGTCCAATGTTCCAGAAAGGTCTAGAAGGGTGAGGACTAAGAAAAGGCTATCAGATTGGGCATCTGGTAACTTTGAAGAGAGCAGTTTCAATTTAGGAAACTGCAAGGATATTAATGCTTTTGAGAGAAATAGGCAAGTTGGGAAGAATGTTATATTTTGGAGGAAAGTTAACATAAAGAGATCTACAATGTTAACTCATGCATCTCCTTTCCATCTTGTGCAGCTCATTCAATGCCACTGAAAAACAATAGGGTGGGCAAAGGTTTTTACCAGCTATTGCCAGGGTGGTAATTCAGTCTGCCATTGAGGCTGTCACCTAACACAGAAGGTGAGAGGTTTCAAGCTTGTGCAGCTACAGTGAACCAGCTGTGCAAGGTAGAGTTGAGGAGTATAATAATGGGTAAAAGGGGTTACATTGTGTTGGGGACAAAATGTGTGATTGGAAACACATCTTTCCATGCTCCATTTGATTACCATTTAGAAGGATCAAGATTAGCCCACTGGAGCTACAAGGTCCCCACTTTAGAGACCACAATTTTAGGAAATTCTATCACATCCATGTAAACTAGCTTTATAATTTTGTATTCTCATAATAGTACCAAATCTGAAACAGAGTTCTGAGGTATTATTAGAAAATAGTGAGGCAAGATACAGTAAGTATCATTTACTCTTTCTAAAAGTTTTAGGGAAGTGAGATATAAGATGATAGATTGAGGAGGTAACAAAGTCAAGGGAAGGTCTTTTTAGAGAATAGCTAAGTTTCTAGACAAAAGAGAAAGTGGGGAGGAGGAAGACACACACACACAGAGAGAGAATGAGGGATTGAAATTGAAGGACAATATAGCTAATAGAGCAAGGTGTTAGAGGACATAGGAAGGGATGAAATCAAGAAAACAAGTGGAAAGGTTAGCTGTGGCAAGGAAGAAATTCATTTAATGCTCGGCTATTAGAGAAAAGAGGCCACGATAGGTTAACACAGGTTTGGAGGAGAGGAGATGAGTGAGTTTATGACAGATGGCTTCAGATTTTTCATTGAAGTAGGATCTAGGGTTATCTGCAAAAAGAGAATGAGGTAAGAGAATGGAAGAGAAGGTTTGGAATGGCAGCTGTGTAGAGTTTGATAAGGAGCCAATCAGGGATGAAAATAAAATAAAATTAAATGATCCAACTGAAGTGAGATAGCGTGACTTGTAGTAGACCCAATCAGCATGTTTTTGTGATTTCCTCAGGCAGGGATCAATGACTTGAGAGAAGAAGCAGAGAAAGTAGATGATAGAAGCAGCCCAGGGTTGAGGATTATTAGCAGGAAGAACAAGGTAGAAGTGGATTCAAGAGTTCCTTGAAATGGCTTCTTATGGCATCAAGACTTTGAAAGGTGAATCCAGGACAGAAGTAATGGATTGGCAAAATATGGAGGGATCAAGGAATCAGAGGTGCCCCATTCCTGGAACCTACTACGTCTTCATGTCTTCTGAGATGTTTTTCTTCCATCAAGGACCAGCTCATTTTCTATCTCCTTGAGCCTTCTCTAATTCTGCCCAGCTGAAAGTAATTTTCAGTTTCTCAAATCTTTTTTGTCTAGAACCGATCATCCTTTGCCTATATCACATTTGACCTTGTGTTATGTTTATTTGAGAATAGATTGGGTTTGCTCTCTGCCACACACACCTGTTTTCCTCCCTCACTTAGAGTGTAATTTCTGTGGGTTGGGACCCATCAAGATTTTCATCTTTGTATTTCCACTAGCTTACACGTGGTAAAATTCTTGATAAATATTTGTTGAATTTAATTACTAGAATGAAAGAAGACAAAGAGCAGGTTTAGGTAGATTAAAGTGATATGAGAAACAGAAGAGCTAGCAATTATGCTTCAAGAAGGGAATTTCAAAATTCAGGACATTGGAAGTGAAACAGTTTCAGATGACAGTAAGGTACAAGATACAATCTCCTCTATATGTGGCTGAGGTAGAATAGAGATGGAGAATATGGGAGCTGAGCAGAAGGAGAAAGTGATGATGACAGAGGGTTATCAACATGAATTTTAAAAGCATCATGGCTGATGGTTGAGTGGCAAGGAAGGACTATAAGCCAGGTATTGACAATGTTTCACAGAGTAGGTATTTAATAAATTGTTATTGTATAACTGAATCATTGTAACTAATGGCTGTTAAATACTAACAGTGGTCTGCTCTTGATAAGATTTTATATTCTGAAGCTGCAGTTTTCCAATGCTAAGTGTTTTTCATTAGTGCTTATCTCAGGCAATCTTAAGTGCCCATCAGTCAATTTAGCATTAAAGTAATCTTTCTTTTATCTATAAGAAGACAGAAGTGCCAATGCCAAAGAATACCAAATAAAAACTCAGATATCACATAAATTCCTTTTTCAAGAGAAGAAAAAAATGAAGTATGCTATATTGCCCTTGAAAGTACCAAGTTTTTTTTACATCTAATCAAAAATAAATGAGATAAGACATAAAGCAACAGAATGGACTGTTGTTAA